GCTTAATTGGGCCGTTCAGGACCGTCCATGTACCATTACACGTGTAAAGTTTTGCAATTTATTCGAATTATTGATTCATTGAAAGAATCGTTTTTTCATTCGGCTGTCTGAGAAAGCTATCGTGCAAAGTATTAAAGTGTCACAATTTCCAGAACCAATAATACCGGTGAATTTGCAAGCGGAATGTTTGCAAGCAGCTGGGGATGCTGCGAGTTGTTGGACATGCGTCGAGAAGTTTCCAATCGAAAATCGCAATTTTTTCATCTATTTTATTGGATTTGTTACGGAACTGATGGAACGAAATCGCTCTGCTTCTAGTAAGTCGATTGTATTAGCAACCAGGTTGACTCTGGAAGTTATTTTTATTTGATAAATTTTAGTCTTTAATCATTAACAGTTTTAATAGGCGCCTATTTGTGATTTGGCATGCTGTGTATAACAATTGGTAAATCGTGCGATTTGTTTGCTTTTGAACAGTTCTTGAAAAAAGTAGCCATTGGCCTTGCCAGCGATTGGCTTCTGTTGATATATGCTACGACTCATGCCTTTTTTGAGTATCTCTCTTTCATAGAGAATGATTACAGGAGAGATTTTAACTTTTTAATTGGAAAATCAGGTTTTGTCATCCCAGAACTAGCCATTTTGGGATGACCGGAAAAAGGCTTGAATTTGCTTGAACTAACAAACGTTGTTTTTGGCAAGCACAACAGTGCTCCTTTATCGTTCGACCTGATAGTTTTTCGGATTTTTGGAAGACAGTGGTTTACCATGTTTTTTGCCCTTTCCCTCTCCCCTTATTCTCGTCCTCCAGTGCTTTTAGTGGCTGTGATTATAGTCTTCGAAATATCTGCACATGGCATTCCATTAGTGTTGGAAATTCTTTCTTTGGCTGCACTGACTTCTTGTTAAAAATTGCTTTTATGCCTTCAGTTTTTCAAAAAATTCCATTAGAAACCTTCCGCTATCAAGGCTTTCAGTGACTGCCTCTTTGGAGGTTGCTTGAAAAAGCTTTAATTAGACATAGCTCTTTCGATAGGTGGTTTCAGGGCGGCTTCCTGAGAAGGGGGGAGGGCCGGTTTTGCCAGTTTTCTTTTCCCTCTCCTCCTTTTCCCTTTCTCGCCAGTCAGACCTAAACTGCGGCGACGACTAGGGGGAGTGGGAGGGAGGGAGAGGGAGAGGGAAATGAAAGTAGAGCTCTGAGGGGGGAGGGGGGCGACAGAGGGCATCGAAAAGAGTCTTCTACAATTAAACAACTCCTACCACCGCTACTGGGAGGGGAGGGGGATGAAGCACCTATCGTCCCTCCTGCCCCTCCCCCTCCCTGGATCAGACAATGGCTCTTTGTAGTAGGGTATTTAATGTGCAAAATTGTATTTCAGCACAGATGCAGTTGCTGGCCGATGTTGCATTCAAACGGCAAGCTGCTGAGGATGGCTATTTGGAACGTTCGAAATTCCTCGAAACACTCGTATCGTACGGTCAGGATAGTTACCAGAGCGCACCACCTCCACCACCACCACCGCACCAGGATCGGGATCTTATTCTTTTGTAACCCTTCTTCGTTCTGACCTCTCCGCTCTAAAGCGAATAATTAGAGTTCTAGAGATTTCTGTCATCCTGGTCATGCCTGAAGCTTCTTCTGCATTCTCCTAGCAGGCTGTCGTATCAAAATATATACTGCTGTGATTACTTCCCGAGAAGATTGTAATTGCCTTCCATTGTTGGGCGTTAATTGCCTTCACGGTTTATCGAAAACTACCCGTTTCATGCATTCCTTCGTACTTGTTTGTTATGTCCCACTTTTTTTTTTTGAGGATTTTCCTAATTCGTGTTCGCTTTTGTAAAAATATTTTCCCAAAATCGTTTTTTTTTTTGCTGTTATGTGATATTTTCGGTGCATAGATTCCGGGGTGTTGCAGAAACTGGCCGACTAGCTAACTACGCTGCGATACAGACAGTTTCTTCAGCCTCTTCTGATCTTGTGGGACGTGTATCTTATCATTTCATATTTTTTATTCTCTGTGAATAACAAAATAGCAATCACTCATTGGTGATTATCGATTGACTTCGTAGCTTGCCTGATTCCCGAAATCGCTCTCCTGCCATAAAAATTTTCCACACGTCCATACGTGAGAATCAGGTGAATATGAGCCGTCATCTTACGTTTGGAGACCCGTAAGTAGGTGTAGATTATGTTGCCAAAGTTTAGAAGGTCAGTT